TCACTGATTACTAAAATGTCAATGTTCACTCTTGCCATCTCCTGGTTGACCACTTCCAATTTGCCTTGATTCGTGGACCTAACATTCCAGGTTCCTATGCAATATTTCTCTTTACAGCATAGGACCTTGCTTCTATCACCAGTCACATCCACAACTGGGTGTTGTTTTTGCTTTGTCTCCATCCCTTCATTCTTTCTGGAGTTATTTCTCCACTGACCCCCAATAGCATATTGGTTACCTACCGACCTGGGGAGTTCATCTTTCAATGTCCTATCTTTTTGCCTTTTCATCCTGTTCATGGGGTTCTCAAAGCAAGAATACTGAAGTGGTTTGCCATTCCCTTCTCCAGTGGACCACATTTTGTCAAAACTCTCCACCATGACCCATCTGTCTTGCATGGCCCTTCACAACACGGCTCATAGTTTCATTGAGTTAGACAAGGCTATGGTCTATGTGATTAGATTGGTTAATTTTCTGTGATTGTGATTTTTAGTCTGTCTGCCCTCTGATGGAGAAGGATAAGAGTCTTATGGAACCTTCCTAATGGGAGAGACTGAGGGGGAAACTGGGTCCTGTTCTGATGGGTGGGGCCATGCTCAGTAAATCTTTAATCCGACTTGCTGTTGATGGGTGGAGCTGTGTTCCCTCCCTGCTATTTAGTAGTAGTGAAAGTGAAATCACTCAGTCATGTCGGACTCTTTGCGCCCGTGGTTGCTAAAAATCGGACACGACTGAGTGACTTCACTTTCACTTTTCACTTTCATGCACTGGAGAAGGAAATGGCAACCCACTCCAGTGTTCTTGCCTGGAGAATCCCAGGGACAGGGGTGCCTGATGGGCTGCCATCTATGGGGTCACACAGAGTCCAACATGACTGAAGCGACTTAGCAGCAGTATTAGCAGAGAAATCAGGAGAAAGGTAATGCTATTGTAAAATGCACAGAATTTCAACGACAACAAAAAAAAACAGTTTTCTGAAGCTTTTTGGCACATCACACGCATTTAGGGGTTTAAAACGTTTCCAGATAGCTACTGAAGAAATATCACTGCTTGCAGATTTTTAACTTGATGAAGTTGCGCACATTTCATGTCCAAAGCATTGCAAAATGAGTCTGGACTTTTCCCATTGGCCAAAAACACATTCACTTTAGATTTCAATGACAAAATAATAACTAATGGTAAACTTGTAACAGTACAAAGAAAGTTGCTGAACAGTTCATAGAAAATGAGAGCGATATTATATATATAATGTAATACCATGTACATACATAACTATCGATCTAGAGCATATGTTGTTGTTGTTAGTCCCTAAATGGTATCTGACTCTTTGTGACCACATGGACTCTAGCCCTCCAGGTTCTTCCATCCATGGGCATTTCCAAGCAAGAATACTGGAGTGAGTGTGATTTCCTTCTCCAGGGAATCTTCTGGGACCAGGGATCAAACTGGTAACTCCTGCACTGACAGGTGGATTGTCTTCCACTGAGCCGCCAGGGAAGCCCCTAGAAGAAGACACTATCACTGCTGTTCAGTTTCTCTGTTGTGTCTGACTCTTTGTGACCACATGGACGGTCGCCCATTGGGCTCCTCTGTCCGTGGGGATTGCCAGGCAAGAATACTGGAATGGATTACCATTTCCTTCTCTGGAGGATCTCCCTAAATCAGGGATCGAGCCTGCATCTCCTTCATTGGCAGGCCAATTTTTTACCACTGAGCCAACAGGAATGCCCAGAAAAACATACATGGAAAACTTTTTTTTATTTTAATTTTATATTTTACAAGTTTTTTAAAGAAATCTTGAAGTGTTGAGCATTTACTTAGTTGTTTGTATATTTGTCTTTTAAACAAAAGTAATTACTTTTAAACTAAAAGTAATTTATAAATTAGAATAATATTCTTTAAGAAAAAGAATAAAACATTGTAAGTTAAAAATAAGCAGGGATATGAACATTCTAATGATAATAGTTAGCATTTGTTTGTAAGGCCTTAGATGATTTACATCAGTTGTGTGATATAATACCTACAATAACACTACAGATCTGGCATTATTACTTACTTGGTGTGATTGAGGAAACTTGAGTCCAAAAGTTTCAATGATTTTTTCAAATGTTGCAGAGCTACAAGGGTTGCAGATCAAGAACTGAAATCTAGTACAGCCGCTATGGAGAACAGTGTGGAGATTTCTTAAAAAACTGGAAATAGAACTGCCATATGACCCAGCAATCCCACTTCTGGGCATACACACCGAGGAAACCAGATCTGAAAGAGACACGTGCACCCCAATGTTCATCAAAGCATTGTTTATAATTGCCAGGACATGGAAGCAACCTAGATGCCCATCAGCAGACGAATGGATAAGGAAGCTGTGGTACATATACACCATGGAATATTACTCAGCCATTAAAAAGAATTCATTTGAATCAGTTCTAATGAGATGGATGAAACTGGAGCCCATTATACAGAGTGAAGTAAGCCAGAAAGATAAAGACCAATGCAGCATACTAACACATATATATGGAATTTAGAAAGATGGTAATGATAGTCCTATATGCAAAACAGAAAAAGAGACACAGATGTATAGAACAGACTTTTGGACTCTGTGGGAGAAGGTGAGGGTGGGTTGTTTTGAGAGAACACCATCGAAACATGTATATTATCTAGGGTGAAACAGATCACCAGTCCAGGCTGGATGCATGAGACAAGTGCTCGGACCTGGTGCACTGGGAAGACCCAGAGGGATCGGGTGGAGAGGGAGGTGGGAGGGGGGATTGGGATGGGGAATACTTTGAAATCCATGGCTGATTCATGTCAATGTATGACAAAAACCACTACAATATTGTAAAGTAATTAGCCTGCGACTAATAAAAATAAATGAAAAAAAAAAAAAAAGACTGAAATCCTGTAATGGATAGTTCCAAAGCAAGTGCTACTAATCACTCTGTTATATTGCTTCTCCACAAAGCACATGAAATAATTTCTAGAACTGTTATTACTGTTTCTAAAATGGACCTCTTTTTATAATAAAATTCTCCAAATTTGTATGATACTGTTTAAAGGGTAATAACTATACTTCATCATTCTGCAAATCAGTTGCCCCAAATGAATTGAAGGACACCATGAATTTAGCATGTTTCAGCATTTCAAATTATTTTCTTAAGGCATATTCCAGGAAAAGGGCTTCCCATGGCTCAAGGTTAGAATTTGTTGCCAATGCAAGAGATGTAGAGGACGCCTGGCTCAGTCCCTGGGTTGGGGAAGTCTCTTGGAGTAGGAAATGACAACCCGTTTCTCTATTCTTGCCTGGAATATTCTGTGGACAGAGAAGTCTGGTGGGCTACGGTCCATGGGGTTGCAAAGGGTCGAACACGACTGAGCATGACCACAATGCCAGGAAATGCCCAAGATCACATTAAATCAAGCAAAGAATTGTTCACAAAACAAACAAACAAATAACTAAATAGTTCAGGTTGTTTCTAGAAAGAGAAAGCAGGGGAATAAAATATAGATAAGGAAAAAACAAAACAAAACTGGTGAGCATGAACACTTACCTTCAATGCTATTTTAATTGTTCAGAACACTTTACCTGGACTTCCCTCATAGCTCAGCTGGTAAAGAATCCACCTGAAATGAGGGAGACCTGAGTTCGATCCCTGAATTAGGAAGATTCCCTGCAGAAGGGATAAGTTACCCACTCCAGTGTTCTTGGGCTTCCCTTGTGGCTCAGCTGGTAAAGAATCTGCCTGAAATGCAGGAGACCTGAGTTCGATCCCTGAATTAGGAAGATTCCCTGCAGAAGGGAAAGGCTCCCCACTCCAGTGTTCTGGTCTGGATAATTCCATGGACTGTATAGTCCATGGGGTCACAAAGAATCAGATACGACTGAACGACTTTCACTTTATCTTCTGCATGACTCTACTGAGAGCATTTTTTACTTCCTTGTTTCGAAGACTATATATGAGGGGATTCAGCATGGGGATGACAATAGTATAAAATACAGAAGCCACTTGATCCTTCCCCAAGGAGTAGGATTTACTTGGTTTTAAGTGGGTAAAAATCAGAGTGCCATAAAAGACAGTGACCCCCAGAAGATGTGATGCACAAGTAGAGAAAGCTTTTTGCTTACTAGAAGTGGAAGTGATTTTCAGGATAGTAGATAGGATGGATACATAGGACACTGCTATTGTAATAAGAGACAGCACTAGACTGGAGCCAGCAAAAGTGGATATGATGATTTCTATGTCACGTGTGTCAGTGCAGGACAAGGCTAAAATTGGGGATAGATCACAGAAAAAGTGAAAGATTATATTGGATTTGCAGAAATGCAATCTGCTCATGCAAAGTCCATTAACAAAAGAGTCCATAAAGCCAATCAAATAGCATCCAAATACTAGGAAGCAGCAGCGTCTGGTGTACATGACAATCGGGTAATGCAGAGGGTTGCAGATGGCTACATAGCGATCATAGGCCATGGAGGAGAGAAGGAAACATTCAGTCCCACCCAAGAATATAAAGCAACTCATCTGGATGAAGCAGTTCAGGTATGAAATGCTCTTGGTGGAATTCAGTAAGTCGTCTAAGGTTTTAGGGGTGATGACACTTGAGTAACTTAGGTCAAGAAATGACAAGTGACTGAGGAAAAAATACATGGGTGTGTGAAGCTGGGGGTCCAGGCAGATTATCAGGATCAACCCCACATTCCCCAGCACAGTGATCAGGTATATCAGGAGGAAGAGGGTGAAGAGGACCAGCCGGATGAGTCTGTCAGTCCCATGAGGATGAAGTCAGACACATGAGTGATATTCCTTCTGCCCATAGTGTTCAAATGCTCCAAACTGTTGAGGACTCAAAGTTGATATTCAGCAGGAATTACTTCAAAAATTTAAAAAAAAATTACTTTGTGTATGTGGCTCAGCATTTCAGCACATCAAGATGGTTTAGAAATTGTGTTCTCTCCTTGCTGTTTGTTTTCTGCTAACATTATTACTTTGTCTTCTCTGTCTTCCAGGCGGATTATCAGGATCATCCCCACATTCCCCAGCACAGTGATCAGGTATATCAGGAGGAAGAGGGTGAAGAGGACCAGCCGGATCTCTTCAGAGTCTGTCAGGCCCATGAGGATGAAGTCAGACACATGAGTGATATTCCTTCTGCCCATAGTCTTCAAATGCTCCAAACTGTTGAGAACTCAAAGTTGATATTCAGCAGGAATTACTTCAAAAATTTAAAAAAAAATTACTTTGTGTATGTATGAATGACATCACTTATTCATATTAATTTAGTGTTTCCATGAAGTGATGATAAGGAGGTGTGTATAGTGTACGCAGAGACAAAAATTTATTTTGATTTCCAAATATAAAAATATGTGTGAGTTGACATTTGGATATATTATAACAAAAACTAATACATTGGAAAATTAGAATAAGCCTGACATGACCCTAAATGCTCCTGTTAAGGCACTTAACTAATGCATTTCACGAGATTTTTATACCATAATTAGCCATATTTTTCTGATGAGACAAAGGGCACAGAAAATTTAGTTAACAGATTTAGAACTCCTAAATTTTGGCTCCACAATTCCACTTCGATAGATTGACTCCAGAGAGCATGCCCATAATACTCTGTGTATGTGCTCAGTCATGTCTGACTCTTTGCAAACCCCATGCACTGTAGCCCTCCAGCTTCTTCTGTCCATGGAATTTTCCAGGCAAGAATATTGGAGTGGTTTGCTATATCCTCCTCCAGTGTATCTTCCCCACTCTGAGATCAATGTCTGGGTGCATAGTATGCACCATGTCTCTTGCATAGCAGGCAGATTCTTGACCACTACACCACACCATAATACCATACTCCTATTTATAATTAATTTCAACAAAACCAAAAGTAAACTGCTAGCTATATGATAAGGAATGATAAATGATTAGTTTTAATGTACCATGTTCTGTCCCTTCATTTCAAATACTATTTAATGCTAATGACAAGTATCCAAACTTAGTGGACTTTAATAGGGTGTATTAAAATGATAGACCACATGTTAGTACTAATTTCCAAAAAATATGATATTTTTCTAATCTGACCACTGAAAATCAAATTTCTTCCAAAATTATATCTCTAAAAAATACTAATGAGTTGTAGACCCTGATTATATCAACTCTGTACTTCTCCTTCCACAAATCCTGACACTTTTTAATGTCTAAAAGATATCTGCACGCAAATCCTGCTGATAAAGTTCCTGTTTTATTGGATCCTACCTAAAACCTTCCAAATTTGAGAATGATACTTACTTTCAGCCAAAGTTGGTGAAAAAACACTTTCTTCCAATATTTTCTCTCTAGAAGTATGTCAAACTCCAATTTTCTCACAAATAACACATGAAGACCATTTCAGTTGAAAATTACTATGATGCAATATTTGTTTTCTTTGAGATAAGTTCTTTTAAAATTTTGGTGCATTCATTTTGTTTTATTCTGAGGCAAAAATAAATCAAATGAAGTTTTGTTCAACTCCTGATCATGCATAAAATTCGCCAGGAAGTTATGTCTAAAATGAGCATCAGGGATCAACTGTGTACATATATGTAAGTGAAGGCTCTCATTCTGATAACTCCAGGTTACATCATATTCTGGGGGCTGATGATAATGCAAACTTTGGCCGTCTCTGTGGACCAGTTTCCAAGGAAGATTTCTTGGCGTGTCTCCAAGGACAGGAGTTCAAGTACTAAATGCTGCTATGCTAAACTCTGAGAAACTAATTTTTTTCCTTAGAAGCCACACAGTGAAGACCCTAATGCTGTGGCCTTCCAACGTGATGCTCTGAATTTATGCCTGCTGTGGTAGAGAAATTATTTTTAGAGAAATATTTCCTTATTCTGTGACTGAAACTATCAGGGATGGAATGATGCATTTTTTACAATGAAACCTTTATATTTAAATGGTGACAATATTATAGGAGTGGACTTCCCAAGTGACACTTAGTGGTAAAGAATCCGCTGGCCAGTGCAGGAGACATGAGAGACACGGGTTCAGTTTCTGGCCTGTGAAGATCCCCTGGAGGAGGAACTAACAACCCACTCTAGTATTCTGGCCTATTGAATCCCATGGACAGAAGAGCCTGGTGGGCTACAGTCCTTGGTGTTGAAGAGGAGTGACTTAGCACACATGAATTAGAGCAAATAAACATTTTTGAAACAAAATGTCAATATAATAAAATTCAAAGAACAACATGACATAATCAAAACTAATGTAACATTTTGATTATAATTTCCCAATTATCTTTTACTTCATTAAGTGCTTATTTGTAGACCTCTAGATTTTCAATAAAGGACAGAAAAGGTATGGACCTAACAGAAGCAGAAGTTATTAAGAAGAGGTGGCAAGAATACACAGAAATAAAACTGTACAAAAAAGATCTTCACACCCAGATAACCACAATGGTGTGATCACTCACCTAGAGCCAGACATCCTGGAATGTGAAGTCAAGTGGGCCTTAGGAAGCCTCACTAAAAACAAAGCTACTGGGGGTGATGGAATTCCAGTTGAGCTATTTCATATCCTTGAAGATGATGCTGTGAAAGTGCTGCACTCAATATGCCAGCAAATTTGGAAAACTCAGCAGTGGCCACAGGACTGGAAAAGGTCAGTTTTCATTCCAATCCCAAAGAAAGGCAATGCCAAAGAATGCTCAAACTACCGCACAATTGCACTCATCTCACACGCTAGTAAAGTAATGCTCAAAATTCTCCAAGCCAGGCTTCAGCAATACGTGAACCGTGAACTTCCAGATGTTCAAGCTGGTTTTAGAAAAGGCAGAGGAACCAGAGATCAAATTGCCAATATCCGCTGGATCATCGAAAAAGCAAGAGAGTTCCAGAAAAACATCTATTTCTGCTTTATTGACTATGCCAAAGCCTTTGACTGTGTGGATCACAATAAACTGTGGAAAATTCTGAAAGACTTGGGAATACCAGACCACCTTACCTGCCTCTTGAGAAACCTGTATGATGTTCAGGAGGCAACAGTTAGAACTGGACATGGAACAACAGACTGGTTCCAAATAGGAAAAGGAGTACATCAAGACTGTATATTGTCACCCTGCTTACTTAACATATATGCAGAGTACATCATGAGAAATGCTGGGCTGGAGGAAGCACAAGTTGGAATCAAGATTTCCAGGAGAAATATCAATAACCCCAGATATGCAGATGACACCATCCTTAAGGCAGAAAGTGAAGAAGAACTAAAGAGCCTCTTGAACATGAAAGAGGAGAGTGAAATGTTGGCTTAAAGATCAACATTCAGAAAACTAAGATCATGGCATCCCGTCCCATCATTTCATGGCAAATAGATGGGTAAACAATGGAAACAATGGCTGACTTTATTTTGGGGGCTTCAAAATCACTGCAAATGGTGATTGCAACCATGAAATTAAAAGATGCTTACTTCTTGGAAGGAAAGTTATGACCAACTAGACAACATATTAAAAAACAGAGACATTACTTTGTCAACAAAGGTCTGTCTTATCAAGGCTATTGTTTTTCCAGTGGCCATGTATGGATGTGAGAGTTGGACTTTAAAGATAGCTGAGCATGGACGAATTGATGCTTTTGACCCGTGGTGTTGGAGAAGACCCTTGAGAGTCCCTTGGACTGCAAGGAGATCCAATTACTCCATCCTAAAGGAGCCCAGTCCTGGGTGTTCATTGGAATGACTGATGTTGAAGCTGAAGCTCCAGTATTTTGGCTACCTGATATGAACAGCTGACTCATTTAAAAGACACTGATGCTGGGAGAGATTGAGGGCAGGAGGAGAAGGGGATGACAGAGGATGAGATGGCTGGATGGCATCACGAACTCAATGGACATGAGTTTGGGTAGACTCTGGGTGTTGGTGATGGACAGGGAGGCCTGGCATGCTGCCGTCCATGGAGTTGCAAAGAGTAGGAAACGACTGAGCGACTGAACTGAACTTAACCTCTTATCTCTGTTAAGCAATTTAAAACAAATGAGTTAGGCATTTAATTTAATAAATTTAATTTTTTAATGACAACAAATCTGTAGAAATAAGGAGAAGGCAATTATGATTTAAAATACACAGAATTTCAATTAAAAAGCAATTTACTGATGCTTGTTAACACATCATAGAAAGGAAGGATTTTTTTAAAATATTTTTAGATAGTCACCAAAGAGATATAACTGTTTGCAGATTTTAACTTGAATTTAAAAACACTTCATATCCAAAGAATTGCAGAATGAAAGTCTAAATCTTTCCCATGTATCAAAAGCACATTCATCTTAGACTTCATTGACAAAGAAATAGTCAAAGGTTAATCTTGTTAGTGTACACAGTAAACTGCAAAAAGGTACATGTGAAATGACAGAAGTATTGTTCTAGCATATAATATGTATACACACACACACACGCATAGCTGTCAATCTAGAAGAAAACATACAAAGTTGTTAATTTTTAAGGCATTTCTATTTCCTTACATTTTCAACATTTTTAAAGTTTTCTGCAATATTGACAGGTACCATTTTAAATCCAAACCTGTGAGGTGCTGAGTTTTTTCTTAGCTGTTTGTGTGTTTGTCCTTTAAATGAACCAAAAGTAATTTTTTTACAAACAAGAGAATATTCTGTAAGAATAAGACACTGTTCATTAAAAATACTGAAGAAATAAGAGTGTTCTAATGATAATGGTCTGCCTTTAATAGTACTACCTTAAACACTTAATCAGCTATATGATTTAATCTTTATAAAAACTCTATGGACCTGGAAACATAATTTATTATGTCTGATTGAGGAAATGCTTTATTTAAGAGTTACACAGTGGAAAGAGTTGCAGATCTAGAATCAAATGTCTGGAGTGTTTGGTTCAAAAACAAGAGCACTCTGGCATACTGCTTTTCCACAATGTAAATGAAATAATTTATAAAACTGTTATCATAGTTCCCAAAATGAAGCATTTTTCCATCATAGAATTCTCTGAATCTGCATGATATACTTTAAAATACTGCAAATATAATTTTTATTTTGCTAATCAGTTACCCTTAAAAACAGATACATTTGCACCATTGATTTAACATGTGTCAGTGTTTCCAATTATAATGTGGATTTCTAAAGGCATGTTCTAAAAAATGTCCAAGAAAATATTTGGTAAAGCAAAAGATAATTCTACAGAATAAATGAATAAATAAAGAGCAAGTAAAGTCTTCAATTCATTTCTGGAGAGAGGAAGGAAATGCCATAGAGGGAAGAAGAAAAAATAATAGCTTAAAATTTCATCATCACTGTTATTTTAATTGCTTGGAAGCCTTTCTTTTCTGAATGACCCTACTGACAGCATTTTTTACTTCTTTGTTTCTAAGACTGTAAATGAGGGGATTCAGCATGGGGATGACAATAGTATAAAAAACAGAAGCCACTTGATCCTTTCCCAAGGAGTAGGACTTTCTTGGTTTTAAGTAAGTGAAAACCATAGTGCTGTAGAAGATGGTGACTCCCAGGAGATGGGAGGCGCAGGTAGAGAAGGCTTTCTGCTTCCCTGAAGTGGAAGTAATTTTCAGGATAGTGGACAGGATGGACGCATAGGACACAGCTATTGTGATAAGAGACACCACGAGGGTGGAGCCAGCAAAAATGGATATTGTGATTTCAATATCATGTGTGTCAGTGCAGGACAGCGCTAAAATTGGGGGTACATCACAGAAAAAGTGATAGATTACATTGGAGTCACAGAAATGCAATTTGTTCATGCAAAGCACATTGACAGTGGAATCTGTAAAGCCAAACAAATAAGATCCAAAGACAAGAGAGCAGCATCTCCTGGTGGACATAATGACGGGGTAATGCAGAGGGTTGCGAATGGCTACACAGCGATCATAGGCCATCGAGGAGAGAAGGAAACACTCGGTGGCGCCCAAGAAGACAAAGCAATACATCTGAGTGAAGCAGTTCGGGTATGAAATATTTTTGACAGAAGTCAATAAGTTGTCTAAGGTTTTAGGGGTGATGACACTTGAGTAACTGAGGTCAAGAAATGACAGGTGACTGAGGAAAAAGTACATGGGTGTGTGAAGCTGGGGGTCCAGGCAGATTACCAGGATCATCACCACATTCCCCAGCACAGTGATCAGGTATATCAGGAGAAAGAGGGTGAAGAGGATAAGCCGGATCTCTACAGAGTCTGTCAGTCCCATGAGGATGAAGTCAGATACATGAGTGATATTCCTTCTGCCCATAGAGTTCAAATGCACCAAACTGTTAAGATATCAAAGCTGAAACATATCAGAAAATACTTCAAAAAGTTTGTGTTGCTATATATGTCATGACATATTTATATTTGTTTAATAATGCAAAAAAGCAAAATGGCTGCCTGAGGAGGGCTTACCAATATCTGTGAAAAGAAGAGAAGCAAAAAGCAAAGGAAAAAAGCAAAGATATTCCCATTTGAATGCAGAGTTCCAAAGAACAGCAAAGAGAGATAAGGAAGCATTCCTCAGTGATCACTGCAAATAAATAGAGGAAAACAACAGAATGGGAAAGACTAGCGATCTCTTTAAGAAATTAGAGATACCAACGGAACATTTCATGCAAACATGGGCTCAATAAAGGACAGAAATGGTATGGACCTAATAGAAGCAGAAGATATTAAGAAGAGGTGGCAAGAATACACAGAAGAACTGTACAAAAAAGATTTTCATGACCGAGATAATCATGATGGTGTGATCACTCACCTAGAGTCANACTATGGAAAATCCTGAAAGAGATGGGAATACCAGACCACCTGACCTGCCTCTTGAGAAACCTGCATGCAGGTCAGGAAGCACCAATTAGAACTGGACATGGAACAACAGACTGGTTCCAAATAGGAAAAGGAGTACGTTAAGGCTGTATATAGTCACCCTGCGTATTTAACTTCTTTGCAGAGTACATCATGAGAAACACTGGGCTGGAAGAAGTACAAGCTGGAATCAAGATTGCCAGGAGAAATATCAATAACATCAGATATGCAGATGATACCACCCTTATGGCAAAAAGTAACGAGGAACTAAAAAGCCTCTTGTTGAAAGTGAAAGAGGAGAGTGAAAAAGTTGGCTTAAAGCTCAACATTCAGAAAACCAAATCATGGCATCTGGCCCCATCACTTCATGGGAAATAGATGGGGAAACAGTGGAAACAGGGTCAGACTTTATTTTGGGGGGCTCCAAAAATTACTGAAGATGGTGATTGCAGTTATGACATTAAAAGATGCTTACTCCTTGTAAGGAAAGTTATGACCAACCTAGATAGCATATTAAAGAGCAGAGACATTACTTTTCCAGCAAAGGTCCATCTCATCAAGGTTATGGTTTTGTCAGTAGTCATGTATGGATGTGAGAGTTGGACTGTGAAGAAAGCTGAGCATGGACGAACTGATGCTTTTGACCTGTGGTGTTGGAAAAGACCCTTGAGAATCCCTTGGACTGCAAGGAGATCCAACCAGTCCATCCTAAATGAGCCCAGTGTTCATTGGAAGGACTGATGCTGAAGCTGGAACTCCAGTACTTTGGCCATCTCACGTGAAGAGTTGACTCATTGGAAAAGACCCTCATGCTGGGAGGGATTGAGGGCAGGAGGAGAGGGGGATGACAGAAGTTGAGATGGCTGGATGGCATCACTGACTCGATGGACATGAGTTTGAGTAAACTCCAAGAGTTGGTGTTGGACAGGGAGGCCTGGCGTGCTGCGATTCGGGGAGTCGCAGAGTTGGACATGACTGAGTGACTGTACTGAACTGAACTGAATGTTTCTTAGAATTGGTGATAATGAGGTATGGACTGTGTACAAAAAGAAAAAAAATAATTTGATTCCCAAATATAGAAAAAGATGCAAATTGATATTTGAATACAATGAAAGGTAGTATATTGAATAATTTCTATAATCCTGACACAGTTCTAAGTACTTCCCTTTATTAATGCATGTAATGACCATGAGATTATTATACTATAGTGTTATTAGCCACATTTTTCATATGAGAAAAGGGAGCATAATTTGTGTAATGTATCCACAGTTACAACTATTAGATGTTGGCTCTGTATTTCTACCAAGATAGATTGACTCCATAGAGCATGTCCATAATATTTCCTGTGTTAGTTAATTTCAAATATGCCTATTAAAATGCTATATATATAACAATCATAGTAGAATATTTTTAATATACTATGCTCTACTATTTTCCCCAATATTATTTAATACTAATGAAAAATAACTTTCAACCTTTGGACTTTAGTAGCTTGACCACATACTTAGTATTAATTTCCAAAAGACAAAAACTTATCATAACCTGGCCATTCAAAATCGAATTTCTTCCAAAATTATATTTCTAAATTGCTGAAAGACCATGATCATAGCAACTCTATATTTCTGGATCCATCAGTCCTGGCACTACTGAAGCCAAAGATATATAAAATGATATTTGCATGCATACTCTTCTGATATTATCCTTACTTTATTTAATTTCAACTAAAACCTTCCAATTTTGAGAATAATGCTTACCGGGAGGCAAGGTTGATCAAAAAACACTTTTCTTCTATATTATCTGTCCAGAAGAATGTCAACTTCAACATTTGCTCACAAATAAAGTATGAAGACCATTTCAGTTGAAAATTTCTGTAATATAATATTTTTTCTTTGATTTATTAGCCACATTTTTCATATGAGAAAAGGGAGCATAATTTGTGTAATGTATCCACAGTTACAACTATTAGATGTTGGCTCTGTATTTCTACCAAGATAGATTGACTCCATAGAGCATGTCCATAATATTTCCTGTGTTAGTTAATTTCAAATATGCCTATTAAAATGCTATATATATAACAATCATAGTAGAATATTTTTAATATACTATGCTCTACTATTTTCCCCAATATTATTTAATACTAATGAAAAATAACTTTCAACCTTTGGACTTTAGTAGCTTGACCACATACTTAGTATTAATTTCCAAAAGACAAAAACTTATCATAACCTGGCCATTCAAAATCGAATTTCTTCCAAAATTATATTTCTAAATTGCTGAAAGACCATGATCATAGCAACTCTATATTTCTGGATCCATCAGTCCTGGCACTACTGAAGCCAAAGATATATAAAATGATATTTGCATGCATACTCTTCTGATATTATCCTTACTTTATTTAATTTCAACTAAAACCTTCCAATTTTGAGAATAATGCTTACCGGGAGGCAAGGTTGATCAAAAAACACTTTTCTTCTATATTATCTGTCCAGAAGAATGTCAACTTCAACATTTGCTCACAAATAAAGTATGAAGACCATTTCAGTTGAAAATTTCTGTAATATAATACTTTTTCTTTGAGATAAATTCTTTTTAAGTTTTAGTGAAGTCATTTTGTTTTATTCTGAGGGAAAAATTAATCAACCTAGAAAGTTTGTTCAGTTCCTGATCAAATGTAACATCTGCCAGGAATTTATGTCTAAAATGAATATCAGAAGCAGAGCAGCATTGCCTTGCCTCTTATCCTAATAATTCCAGGGCACTTCACATACTGGGGATTGATGATTGCAACATTTGGTCATCCCTGTGGACCAGTTTCCAAGGAAGAATTCTTGGCATATCTCCAAGGGCAAAAGGGAATTGGCATGTCTTCAAGGATTAATGCAGGTATGCTAGGTCATGAGAAACTAGATGTCTTCCTTTCCAAGACCCACAGTGGAGGGACTAATGGTTTGGTCTTCCTGTGTGATGCTCTAAATATTTCCCTAGGTGGCAGAGAAACTATTTATGGAAAAATACTTACTTACTCTATGCCTGAAACTTTCAGGGAAATAGTGATACATATTCACAGTAAGTCTTTTATATTTAATTGTGTGACACTATTATGGGAGTAGGCATTTTCATTAGAAACAAATTGAGAATTTAAGAACATTGAAAAAATGATGTGAAAATTTTCAAAACTTTTGTACATTTTGGTAAATTTCTCAAGATGATTTTTTTTAATAGAAAGCTTGTTTGTATGCCTGTATAATTTCATAATTATTATTATACTGGGTGTTCACTATCCACCCTTATTTGATAATTTACATTTCATAACATACTATGACCAATGTTATTCTAGCTTCTCATAAAACCAATAATTTCACATTTTATTTATTAACTGATACCCTATAACTAACTTTATTCTAGTGAAGTTCTCTTCAGATGTTAAGAATTTTATTGAATATTATTCATCCAAGATGAGACAACAAAAAAAAGACTGTAAAAAGGGATAGACTAATTAGATTAAAATACTCTTATGAATCTTTCATTAATTCATGATAATTAAACCAATTTTCATATAGATTTAAAAGTGACTCTTACTGGAAACTCTGGTCATACTCCAGAATTTCAGGAGATAATTTGTTTGGAAGAAATGAAAAAAGTGTGCATTTATTGTACTTTTAATGAATTTTGGAAGAGCAATTATACTCACCCAAACTTCATCCTGCTAGAACAAGTGTGAAATAAAGTTCATATTTTGTCATGGGATAAGAAAAATTATAAACAAAAACTTTCCCCTGACCTTTCACCTCCTCTCTCCCCTCTCCTGTTTATTGTGTATCTGCATTATGCATTGGACAAGACTCCACCGTCAACAGAAACACCTGCTCAGCCTTAAAGAGCAACATTTTTCTAGCATCAGCAGAGCAACTCCTTAAGATATTCCTTCTTGATCTCATATGGGACCACTATGACCCATGACTTCCCTGGTGGCTCAGATGGTAAAGAATCTGCCTTCAATGTGGGAGATCTGGGTTCAATCCCTGGGTCTGGAAGTTTCCCTGGAAGAGGAAATGTCAACCCAGTCCAGTATTCTTGCCTGGGAAACTCCATGGACAGAGGAGCCTGGTGGGCTGCAGTCCATGGGGTCGTAACGAGTGAGACTCAACTGAGCAACTAACACTTTCACGTGTACCATGACCCATTATTGCTTAGATCTAGATTGTATCTGCTGTCAAATATACATCATTTAATGTACATGTCTCTGTCTCAAAACTTATATAACTGTCTTTTGACTTCTAACGGGCAGAACAGTTCTTGGAGATTTCTGAGGAGTTGTCCTCAGGTTATAATCTTCGACTTGAATAAAATTTTCCATTTCTTTCTTGGAGTGACCAATTAACTTTTCACTGAAAGTCTGAATCTTTGAGACCCTATGGACTGTAGCCCACCAGGCTCCTCCATCTGTGGGATTTCTCA